TGAATCTAACAGCTCTGTCTGCAGCTCATAAAGACTCTATCTGGTTCCATTCGCTCTGTCGACGGTTGACAGGGAAACATATTTCAGCCATGTTCTCTCTCTCTCTCTCTCTCCCCAGAAGAAAATACTTCATTTCATAGTGTTGAAGCTTTAAATGTCGTTTTTCTTTTCCCCTCCACGGTGACTCTTGTTTCCTCTGTATTTTAACTCTTAATGATATTCTTTCATCGGCTAAATGAAATGGCAAACATGCATCGCAGCACTGGGGGCCGTTGCCGGGGCGACAGCTCTCAGTCTGATTCTTGAGTGGCCGATAGGAGGACTTCTGGGAGGTGTCAGCGGCCCAGCCAGGCACTGGGAAGTGTTTTTGTCTGCCTTTGAGCAGCTCTTCCGGCAGCTGGTCTCTGGTAGAACAGTACGGCTCAGTTCCTATCAACTTCCACTCCCCTCCTCCCACCTCGTCTCCCCGTCTCCTTTCTCTCCCCCCCCCCCTCTCCCTTTGTTCACTGACCTGTTTCCTGGAGGCTTTCTGACGGCCGTGGATGGAGGATGTAGGTTTCCCCGAGAACAGAAACCGATGAATACCCTCAATACTGAAGGCTCAGTGTGCGATCGCTGAACGGCGGCCGCAATATCTCAGTCAGAGACTGAAAAGCTCAGTTATTAACCGAGCAGAATTAATACTGTGGCTACACCACTTACCTCTTCACAACGTTTGTACGTGACGCCATGTCCCTCATTAATTCAATGAGACTAATTGAGGCAAACATTTAAGGAAAAGTCCAGCAACTATATAAAGATGAAGATAAGAATTTAAAAAGATTCTACAGAATCCTCAACGACAGACACAGAAAGGTGTGTGAGGTGGAATTAGTTCGAGGATCAGGGGTCGGACGATCAATCTTGTACGTATTCATGTCGGAGTGTGTGTCCACCACAGATCCATCTCCCCAGACTGAGACTCCATCTTCCATTCACTGTGCACTCTTTACACACTGGTTAAACACAATTCTCCACACAAACACTGATACGTTTTCCTTTTACAGTGAATAATCCGGGGCTCCACCTCTCGCTCTCCACACGGACTTCGAGCAACCAAAGCCCGACCCGACGTAAATGATCAACTAGAAAAGGAAACAAGGCTTCGAGTCCGAACGTCTTGCTCCCTGAATGTATCCCGCACATTCAGAATGTGTAGGCGTGCGTCTGTGAGCCTTCGGAGGTTTTCCATTTCACTTCTCAGCATCAACTTTAGATACTCAAACATTTTGATTTACCAAACATGTGGCAGCGCTCGCAGTATTCACGATCATGTTTTTAAAAATATTTCTCTATGAAACACGCTGCAGGTCTTAAATGTGAGCAGAGGGAAGCTCCGTGTAGTTCTGCTGTGCACAAGCACACTAATTCATCCCGAGCAGCACAACACAGAATTCTTCAGCCGTATTGATTTGGCGAAGCTGGGCCCATACATCACACACGGCTACTTTGTTCAAATTCCATCTGCCTCCTGTAATAAAACAATATTTTGTGTCCCCTGACCTTTGGTGGAAATACCAAAGCAGAGCTCGGAGAGCTGGCGTTCTATGTCCTAATGATCCTGGAACCTGCCAGAGCAAAATTAGTTACATCTCTCAAAACACGGCTTCATCCGGCATCCGAGGGAGCAGCTGCCATGGCAACCAGACAGGCAGTGTTTGCTGGAGACGAGCAGGGATCAACTCAGAGAGGTGAAGCAAAGAAAAGAGGCATTAGTGCACATGATCATGTGCTTGATAGCTCCTGTTCAACGATACTCGAATATCACGAGTGAACTGAACGTTATGTTTGAGTCCTCGGTGTAGATGCACTGAAACCAATCATTTCCCTGTTTTTCCTCCTCTCTCGCTCTCATTAGAGAAAATGACGGAGCCCGTCACCGAAGCGTCACCTCTCCACTCGCAGGGATGAACAACACGACCTTAAGTCCCTCATCAGCTGACCAGTCCCATTTGACCCCCCGACTCGTCCCCCTTTTCTGTGACCTTCAGTTCACGTCTCTGTCCCTGACCGTTATTTAATCGAGTATCCATCATTTCTCTTATAATCGTTTCAGTCAGGAGGTGAAACCAGCATCAAACCTGATGGAGAATATTCTCTTATCGTACATACTACCCGTAAAACCACAGTACTCATCCTGCAACCAATCAGGAAGTACATGAAAATGATCCAATGTTATAACTAATGACATGATTCATGTTACAAACTTGAAGAAAAAGATTTTGTCTTAATATTCTTAACTTTGAGGAACAAGATCATAATATTACAAGAATATTGTTTTCGGAAATAAAGGCCAATAATGAGAATTAAACTAATACTATAGGTCACTATTCTATGTTATATATAAAACAACACAATGTTGTACTTTAGGCTACTATACCATGGTTTACGATAGGGTACTATGCTATACAATGCTATAGGCTACTATACTTCTACACTGTGCTACTATACAATACAGTTATATAACAGGCTACTATACTATGCTTGAGGCTACAGTACTTTTTTTTACAGTACTATACGATAATATGTACCATCCAAGGGGCTTTAATACCACACTATACTACATTAACAGCATAATTAAAGATACAGTATGTGGAAGTCAAAAAGCAGGTGACAGGTTGCACGCCGTCGTTAGCATGACAAATCCTGCGGCGACCAAGACGGCGTCTCCTCCGACTTCGTTGCTCATCCACTATTTAAAATACACTTTTGACATTGTGTGTCTGCCGGCGCTCACACACTCTGAACCAACGCCAGCCAAAGAGGCTCGCAGGAAGAGATGGAGATTACCAAATGTTCTTACTTCAAAAGGAAGCAAACAGCGCGGTGACCCTGCGGAGGCCTCGGTTTAACAGAATAAAACGAGCATTAGAAAGTGAGATTGAGGTTGCAGCTCCAGCTCTCATGAGATTTGATGCTTCCTTCCTTTCTGTGAGGGATTTTCATGCAAATCTTTTTTTTTTTTTTTTTTTTTTAGACAAACAGCGCTCTTCCACAGAAGATGTTTTGCTGTGCAGACACGACACGGAACAGAATTTGTTACATGATAGAACGGTGAATAACACCCCCCCGACACATGCTCAGACTAAACGTGCTTGGATGTAAAAACCGTGTATGGCACAGCCGTGCATGCAGTTGTGATAGTAACACAGTAGGAACTGAGGATTACGACTGGGTTTCAATCTTGATGGATGGGATCATTGTTGAGTCCCACTCAGGGTGGCTGCGACTCCGGGTGGTAGAGCGGGTCGTCCACCAAGCAAAAGGTTGGTGGTTTGGCTCCTCTAGTCCTCATCCCCAAGTGTCCTCGGGTAAAACGATGAAGCAGAAAATTGACCAAACCATCACGAAGTCAACGGAGCAGCAAAGTCCAGGTTCGGAGGAGGTTTAGTGGAAGCTTCATTTAACATGTGAAACTACTCGTCAATTTTTCTTTTCACCACGACTGCTCAGGAATATTAACCACACGTATGTTTGCTAGTTCATTCACTTTTCCTCTCGCATGAAGAAACAATCTCTGCAACAACCGTTAAATAACTGTATCTTAAATCATAACCATTCTGAGATTCAAAACATGACAGCCCCATCGTGCTCGGCTGAACTTCGTGTTTCACTACGCTAACACTAAACAAATAACGTTAAAATCAAATGATGAACATATAAAACGTTGTGGATGCATTTGTATACATTTATATATAGGTCGATAACAACAGCGTGATGAAAACCTCTGGGGTTTAATTGGAGCAGAACTGGGAGAGAACAATAGGTCGGCAGTTGGATGCATGTTATTGGATGTGGTGCCATTAGTGGAACTTCCTTCTGTCGAGCAAATGCTGAAAGAAAGTGTCAGATAATTTGTGCAGCTCCCCCCCCCCCCCCCGCCCCAGCATTTCTCCTGCTGTTTTATCACAGTGGGGGGGGGGGGTGGAGCTGCTAAACAGATGAGAGGCCTTTTGTGCCATTTTGAAATGTTTGTGCAGAACTCGACTTCCACAGTCGTCCCAACTCTGAACCAAGAGGTTTGTGAACTGACGATTTGAAGTTTGACATTTTGTCCTCAACTCTTGTTGTTTGAATCCATTAGGACTTAACTCCTTATGGAAACGATTTCTAATATTTTAAATCAAGTGAGACGCGGGCTCTTCTCACGGACGTCTATCTGAATGTTTTACAACCGGTGGCGTCGCCCTCTGCTCGTCATCTGAGAGAAAACACAAGTTTCAGGGTTTTTTTCTCATTGGCCTGACTTTCTGTCCGGTCTCTGCTCTGCACCCGTCTGTGTATGAGCAGCCTCGCTCCTGTCCACTGCAGCAGCGTCTTCTCTAACTTCAGTGTGACAGTGTTGAAATAGGAGCAGACGGCTGGGGACAGTCCGGTGTGGCCTGTTGCATCGTTACACTCTGACTGCTCGTCTCCTGCTGAATATATCTGCCGTGTGTATATGCATGCGTCTCCTTCAGACACCTGTCGTACACAAAGATATCGCCCGCCTGGGGACACAGTTGCTGACTTTCCTTTTGTGCATACAAACCTCCACCCCCCCCCCTCACTGTGTTCCTTCTTTCTTCTTCTAATCTGTTTCTAATTGTCCAGGTCATTGTCCCTTGAACGTCTTTTTTGGCAGCTATTACACACTTGGCCGTCCTTGTGGTCAGTCCCTCTACAAACTGGTTTTAAATCTACACGCCCCTTTGTTGTCACAGTTTTTTAAAGTAAAATATATTTTAGAATTTAAATCAAGAAAAAAAAAAGAGGAAACGATTTCACTTCCTTCTAGACTCGGCTGAATTTCTCCAGTATTGACAAACGAGAAAAGAGGATGGAAAACGTTTGAAGGTGAATTTGCCGTATCATCCATGAAACTGTCCACGTGAAACAAAGTCAGCAATTAAAACTGGAATTAGATAATCATCACAAAATATCCACATGTAGTAAATAAAGTTTTCTCTGTAAATGTTTATTTTTTAGATATTATTGGCAGGAAATCGGGATGCTGTGATATAAAGATTTTGAGTGATTATAGAAAACAACTGACGAGCTAACAGCTGCTGAGATGTGTTGGCCACGCTCCACATGAGGCCTTTCGTCAGAGCAGGTCGACCATCAGGGGAAAATAAGTCTTTACCAGAGTACAACGGCTTCGTCTGCGCCTCACAGACCTCCTGATAATATAAAGAAATGATTCAAGTGGACCAGAGGTGTGAATGAAGAGGACAAACCGAGCTCCGGTGAAGAGACGGGGATAAATGAAAAGAGCAGGGAGGGAATGTGTTGATCAGTCGTCCATGTTGATTTACTGAGCTGCTTGTGGAAATGACGGTGTAGGTTTTAGAGGTGAAGAAGGTTCGGACTGGAGTCAGTGTTTCACAGAATCAGGTTATACAGCCGTGGGTTTTGTATATTTGTGTATTTAAGATGTCACTGCTCGTATCAATGACCGTAAATAAAGAGGGACAAGCTCGTCTGTGCACAAGTGAAGCCAAAATATCCCAAATCCAGGAGCCAAGTTTCACCTACCGCAACAACTGAAAAACAATTTACTTTGGTCCATGACCCATTAACTAACATGGAGGAGGCAGGGATTGTTACATGCGGCCACCAGGAGGTGATCCAGATGTTTTGGCTTCATTTTTTGGGGAGCCGTCACGTCGTCCATCTTCGAATACAGTTTGTTCTGTAACATTTTAAATACAGTGTCGTCGAAGTCAAAAGAGCCTTTACCCAGAGTCCTCCTGCCCTTTTCACTCGCTCGTACATTTTGCTCAGTGAGACAAAACATTACAACAGCAGCACATGGACACTTGTCCCTGCTCTTTTACTCTGCTCATCACACGGTAAAGACTGCGGACTCTGTCCTCTGACTTTCATTGACTATCTTTCTTCATCTTTCCCTCACACACACATTCAAACACGAAGAAGTTCAACAGGAACATCCTGTAAGAGCGGACAAGGAAACCGGATCAAATCTGAACCACCGTGATGATGTGATGGACAGAATCTCCTCTGGGAATGAGTTCATTCTACTTCAAGTCGAGACAAACATCAGAAGTCATAAAGACCAACACGAAACAGTTCCCAGATTTCTGCAAACAGCTTTTTTTTTATCTATTTGACATTTATTCAAACTCCATCTACTGATTTAGAGAAAAATTTAATCCAAAGCAAAATCAAAATCCAACAATTCAATTCTTTGCCAAATATGTGCAACCTTTAAAGAAAATGTCCCTGAGTGTGTTTCAGTAAATCATTAAACCAAGTCAGCTGTGCATGAACACAAACACCTAGATAAGCTTGTGTACGATGCTCCTCACTCAACTGAACACAGCCTCGGACGTCAGATGGATGTTCTTCATCTCTTCACTGATGAACAGTGGACGGCAGAGACAGCTGATCTGTAATTATTCACGCCGCCCCGTGTCTCCACGCCACAGTAGCTGACCGTTGATTGATTTCGCCTCCGTCACAGCAACGGCCGAACTGCGCTTTTGGCGTCGATGTCACTGCACGAGCTTTTATAGCGTGATAATAAAACAGAACGCTTCAGGAAACTGAACGAGTTGTTTCTAGTTTTCAGATGAAAGATACGAGAGGGGACATCGAGATAAAGAGCCGAGGATAAAGCCTTGGTTACATGTTTTCATCATAAGGATCTGTGCAGCTAATCTGTGCAGGATCTTTACTTGCAAATCCAAAGAAATGCAAAGAACTGCGTCTTCTTGTGGCACTGATGCAGGAACGCTGAGAACAAGCAGGTCGGCTTTAGACGGAAATGTATTCACAGTCAATTGAATGAATGAAAGATCGACTAAAACACAACTGACTAAAGATATGAAAACTTCTGTGCGACATGTTTGCTGAAGTTAAGGATGGGACCGTCCATCTGGGCATGAATATCTGCATCGTACAATCCAATTTAATGAGTTCCATACTTCCTCCGACAGCTCTTAACATCTGTGCTGGAGCTTGAGTTATTGGTTTGATGAATAAAAGAATCAATAGTCTCGTGTTTGATTCATGTTCTCATATGTACGGACAAGATCAAAATGCTTCGGTCTAAAGGAGCTCTTTAAGGTTTGATGCATTTTTGATATGAAATCAATTTGTAGTGATTTACTGTCAAACCCAGGTGATTTTCTTAATTTGAACCAATCCTGTGAAATTTCACTTTCCCTTCTCTTTCTTTCTAAATGAGCCGACGCTCTCTCCAATCTTTGCCGGAGGACAAAATCTCCCTGACAGACTTATGGCACGGACACATCTTCATCCACCTGCCTTGGAGGACGACCTCCAGCTGAGACACTTTGACTCTTGTCCCACTTGTTAACTGATGCCATGTCAGTCCCGTGTTTTTTGAGGACAGAGCGATGAGGACTTGGTTGTGGGCTTATTCAGGGCAAGTTCCACAGAGGGTTCTTTAGCCTCATTCTCTGACCAGCCAGCTCCCAGGCCTATTTAATATTTCACAGCTCCCTCTGAAAATGGAGGATGCTCTTAATTAAGTGTGAACAGTATATTGGCTATAACCAATGCTCCACTGCACCAAACGTGGTCGGTGAGGAAGCATGAAATCACAGTGTGACGTGATTCAACCGCGACCAACCGGGACTTTGAAGTGTTAAATCGTGGGAGAGGTGTCAGTGACCTCTGTGGGTGTGAGAGGAGGAGGAGGAGGAGGAGGAGGAGGAGGAGTGGTCTGAGGAGGAGGGGGGGTCATAAATAAGAGCATCGGTGCTAAAGCAGAGAATTAAGTTTGAATTGGAGACACACACACACACAGGTTTACAGTGTCACACGTCGAGTCCCACTGTAGATAAACCGTAGCCTGGATATAAAGATGGACAATGTGGTGGCTCCCAAAAGCGAAGCTAAAGCATTTGCCCCCTGGTGGCTGGGTTTAGTACATGCCTCCTCTATGTTAGCAGACGGGACATGGACTATACGCTAAACAATTAAAAGATGGTTTCCGACATATTATTTTGTTAATTATTTCGGTAAGTTTGGTGACCCCTGATTGGTCGAGTCAGATTGACACAAGATGGCAGCCCCCATATCTGGGATATTATCATTTTTTGCAACTGGAGGAAGTTGAGACACTTTGTACATCTTTATTTACACGATGGGATGAGCTTAAACTATTGTCGTTAACTGGTGGTTGATCTGAACATTGATGCCCAACCATGGCGGGTATGTGTTGTCTACATGGAGAGGAGGACGTTGTGTTGTTTTTCAACAAAGTTGTCGAAGACGGGGTTTAGCTTCACTGGTGACGAAGGTGCAAGAGCCGCTCTACATTCATGGAAACTGATAAGCGGATGTTTATGCCAAAACACAGCGATGATGTGTTTTCAGTTGCATTAGTCATGTGACCTGTATTCTGAGTCTTAACAAGATTCTTAGAAATGTATGGCTTCAGGAGGACACACACAGACACACACAGACACACACAGACACACACACAGTGAGAATGACTCCCTTGGTCTTGGCAGCGAACGCGGGCCCGTCCAGATGAACTGTTATTGACGGAGGAATGTATCATCCTCCCTCCCACTGTCTCTGACACGCTGCATTGATGGAGTGTGCTGCTGCGGCCGCTCAGACCCGAGTACAACCACAGTGATACAGTACGTCTGCAGGCCACAGATCCATACACGCTTAAAACATGTCACCGTATCTTATCGGCCCGGAAGAATATATATTTTTTTTTTTAAAAAGGACGTAGCCCTCCTCTCGCCCCCAACCTCAGCTGGGATTGGCTCCAGCTCCTCTGGTGCTCCTCAAATATAAATTATACTAAACTCTCTGCTGCAGGTAGTTTATTTGAGACGTTTGTTTCTGTCCTCAACTTCAAACCATTGGCTTCATGTTTCCTTCGTGATCGCCTCTTTATTAAAGACCACTCTGCCATCGCTGGATCCAGGACCGTCGCTCACACCTGACACCTCCTGCTCAATAAGCAGCACCTCCCTATGGTGACCGAGTGAGGAGCGCCACAGAAAGCCTCCAGAACCCTGAGCTTGTAACGCTCCAGCTTCTAAAGCTTCAGCGTCGACGTCCCTCCTCCACACAAAGTGCTTTTTTAACAAAAGGCAGAGTGGTGGTGTTAGTACACAATAATTACAGAAGGAGGTGGATGGTGAGGCAGGCTGCCATCTACCGGCTTTAAAGCAAATCCCCCTCCCCACCACCACCACCACCACCACCTCACCTCAGCCACCCTCACGCCTCCGACTTCTAACTGACTCCAGTTCAAACGCAGATATGTTCAGTGTTGTATATAACAAATCAAATCTACTGACATTCATTCTTTCCCTGTGGTCATTTGTTGAGTAATAACCAAACTGTTGTCGAACTCGTCTGTGAGCATGAAGCATGAAGCTTTAACGGGCAGGAACAACATGATGTGATAGTTTAAAAAACACCAATTTGGCTCAAAATGATTGAGTTTACTTTTTATCACCACGACTGCTGCTGCTGCTCTTTGTGTTGACTTTGGCTCAGATGATCCACTCCCTGAGCTGACATGAGCCAAAACACTCAAACAAACCAGACTCAGACAATCAAAGGGCATTTAAAAGATCGACTCAAACTCAACTAATAGTAAATTAATATATAGATTAAAATTAATATATGGATTAAAGTCCTTTCTTCAGACATTACACTCGTTATCATCGACACCATTGTTCCTGTATGTTTCTGTGCCCGATTGCTTTCTTGACCAGGAGATATCACATCTCTCCATCTTTCTTTGTTAATTAAAGGATAAATAGAAATAATCCGGTTGAGATTTCTGCGATGTTGATGGTGTCAGACAGAGATTACATGTCTAAACATGATTACAAGTTCAGAAGAAACTTTTCTGGAAATGTTTGGACTTGATTAAAGATATTCATGCAGAAGATATAAAACACGTCAGTCAATCGCATGTAAATCACATGTCACGCAGTAAATTCTTCAGCCTCAACACGCAAACGGAGCCTATACTCCAATTCGATGTCGTAATGTCGTGCGTCCATTACGCGCGTGTGGGGCAGGACCGTGCATGAGATCTGTCGCGCGCACTGAGCAGGAAGCTTTTATATGGTGATGAAAATCGATTGGGCCGATGCGCACCAATCAGAAGCGTTTGATTTATGTTTAAGAGACTGTTGAGGGGAGTAGTCGCCTGGCAACCGCCTAATGAAATGTGGGAGCCGTGGACATTAAAAATAGCGACCCCACAACCTCCTGGTGCAACAAGGACGAGTGTGCGTCTCCGTCCTTCTGGTGGAAGAAGGGATCGATCACATGTGATTATCAGTGAAGAGAAGTCTGATGGAAGGGGGGGGGGGGTAAATGATGGAGTTGGAAGTGAGACCAGCTGAGAGTCGTGATAAGGTTCAGTCAAAGACTATAATCCAACATGTTTTGCAAATCATTCCCATGTATTAATCCTCAGTGGAAACCTTTGGCTGCGTTAAAGGAGCCAACGATGGACGAGCACCGCGAGCTGGGAGAAGACGTGACATCGCTGCACACTGCAAAAGAAATGTCCACCTCAGCAAATCCTATATGAACAAAAAAAAACCTAATCAATGTGGTGCGAAGACGAGATCGAGGTTTTCTGTCCCAGTGAGAAAAAGAAGTTTTCTGAATCTGCTGCCTCTCGTTTTATTCAAAGAACAAAATGATGTTCATGGGGATTCGTGATAAAGAATCGTTAAGACTGCTGGGTCGATATTTTTGCAGCGTAGTCCTGATCGATCTCTGAATCTGATGGAATGAAAAGAAGATGGATGTGACTGACTGTTACTGTGGAAACCAACTTTCCTCCTGCCCACACGATGCTGTTCCATCAGCTACACCAGCGCCACCTCCTCCATATGTTTGGTGACAGAATTAAGATCAGGCATCTCCATCTCCTTCGTGCGTAAATGCGCGTAATGAGAATACCAGCACAATATGGGCATCGATATATCATGGGTGGCGTGCACACTGGCAGGGAAGCTCGAGAAACAAGAGGAAAACGTTTACTTACAACAATTGGTGACTGCAAAACTGTTCGCCACTTCCAGATTGTCAATGTGAGGCGTCAATCTGAATTCAGAAGTGCCAAACTGAACCATCCCTATCCGAAACGCGCTGTACTCTTGGTCCGCGCCCCTTGGAAAGAGTCCCCCTGAAACCGGAATAATAAAAAAAAATACCATTTAGACTTGGACAATGTCCCAAAAATAATAAAACAAAGACATTTTCCAATCAAAGTCTTCGTCTTTCACCCTTTTGAACTGACAGATACCTACCGATCTGAACACTGGGCGAGCCTCCGAGCGCGCATCCCCATAAAACCAGCAGAACCGAGAGGGATAAATTCACTATCTTCTCCATGTCCACAGTTTAGGTGTCCACATCCACCAAAAGGGAGTCAGATATTCCTGGTTCTCTCCGGAGACGTTAGATCCGACACATATTGGAGAGCTTCAGCCTTTGGGGGCGGGGGGGGAGGATCAGAAACAGCAATCTGCAGGGAGAGGAGCGGTTTTATCTGCAGGTGCCTCGCAGCGGAGGGAGCAGTGGAGGAATGGTCGCCTGCTCTGTGGCTCTGCTCTCTCTTCTTCCGCTCCTTCTCTTCTCCTCTTGCCGGCAGCTGATGCCTCCTCCTCCTCCTCCTCCTCCCCTGAACGCACGGGGACACTGCGCGTCTCCGCTCGGCGCGCCTGAGATCCTTTCAGCATCACACCCACAAGTGAGGAATCTTAATGAGGAGGCGAACGCAGGCGGAAAGAGCCGAGCGCGCTCCTCACTTTGAAGCTCCAGGCGCACAGAGGAAGCCTCGGAGTGAGGGATGTCGTCTTTGCTTTGTTTTAATGAGCTGCAGGAAGATGTCCCCCCCCCCCAACATGGATGATTCAGACAAGATCTCTCTGGATCCTAAAGATGTGCTGTTGATTCATATTTCTGATGGTCACATCAACATTTAGGTGAAAGGTTCAACTGGCAGAAATGTAATATAAAATAATCCTAGTGATGTTTTCATCAGTGTGTTTCTTTACCCTAGAATGGGCCCTTTAAATTGAAATACTTCATATTTAGATACTTTATATTTAAATACTTTATATTGAAATCAGGAGTTCCTCTCTACGGACGCCGCCATGTTTTTTACAGCAGCCTGAAACCTTTTGAGTCGACAACTGAAGCCACCACAGGTTCTCGATCGTGTTTGGTAGGCGAGGGGGAGGTGAGGGGTGTTCAGCTGCAACATGACACTTCACCACTAGATGTCACTAAATTCTACACACTGAACCTTTAACTAAACCTTCCTTCTACATAGCAAAATAGTAAGTAAGTAATAACACCTGTCAAACAAAGGTGGCCCAAGTCTTTTTTTTTTTTGCTATTTCTGCCAAATTCCCCGGTTACCACATGAGCCACATCCAGATCACACGTGTCCTCGAGCACCACATGTTGGACAAAGATATAACCACGTTTGTTTTGGGATATTTGGGCCAAGTTTGCCATTTTACAAGATGGCCACTTCAGGCTCACCGTCCATTTTGTTCAGGCCACAAGAAGCCTGAAGTTCTGTAGCCTGAAGTGACCCACATCTACATGCTACATGAGACAACCCACAATTAAACTGTAGGAATGTAAACATGTAGGCAAATATTAATAAATCCCAGATATTCACAAAACAATTCAAAACTTCACTTGCTTTTTCACGGTGACTTTATCCACACACTGAAACACACATGCAAGATGGCTGCTCTACCATTCAGTTCCCCTGTAACACTCAGACATCAGACAAACAAGATAAATAGAAAAACAAAGCCCATTCAACAGGCTTCACTTGACTAAAATCATATTTTAAAGCATTTCCAACATATGTGAACAAACATTACCGGGCTCGTAGGCTTAAACATTCCCTCCACGTCTTAGTCCCTCAGCAAAGGATATAACAAAACCCATTTTTAACGACTCTTCAGTTTGATTTGATGAGTCAAAAGATATATTTCATGTTCTGCAGCTTTGAAACAAATCTTTTAAAAAGGATCGCACTGAATCAAACAGCAAACCAACCTCATGGTCCAGGTCAAAACAGGAAGAAAGGTGCAGGGGAGGTTTCCACCCCCTTTTATAGACTCCGCCCCCTTTACCTGGGAGGCAGGACTTCCTGTTTCTCCTGATTCCTTTCCTTAAGGACATTTAGAAGAAAAAGAGCCACACAAAAAACCTCACAGGGATTTTTATCAGAGTTCTGCTAGTTTACATCATGAAAATTAAATTAAAAAAAATAAAAATAAATGTTCACACCAGCAGAAATGCACAAATCAACAACATGAGGATGAATGGGTTATACAGTGTAATGAAGATAACCCATACAGAAAACAAACCTTTAACATCCACCGTTAAATCAATACTGTAATACTTTAACTTAACACACCCACCACCTGACAATTATTGTTTTCTTAATTAATTGTTGGTTAAATCTGTAAAATATTCTGTTTACGTTGATAAAAGCAGCAAATGGAGAAGCTGCAACCAGAGAACAAAATTACTGATACAACTAAAACTGCTGTTGATTGATAGTTTTTTTTCTGTTAATCAATTAACTTTTATATGCTTTTGGAAACTATTGGACAGCAACAAACCAATATTACAATCAGTACGTATAATATGAGTGGATTGTAGTATTTATACACACACTATACCCACAAGCAACACAATAAAACATCATACACAGACTATCACTCCAGTAAACAATACACATGTTTGATTCATATTTATTTCTGTTGATTGACTAATTGATTAATTGAGTAATAGTTTCAGATATTAGTGAAACGTCTTCTCAAGATTAATTCAGGAGGTAAATGTGAACTTTGACTCTTGACCTTGGAATCAGGTGAATGTAATCGTGACCATCCCGTAACCTCGGAGGAAGCAGCGCTTACGTATGAGACGTATAAAAATGTGACTCTGACATTTCTATCTGGTATTTATGAGATTGAATATGAGAGTGAAGCAACATTTCCACAGTTACACCAAAGATCTTCCTGCATGAATCTTGTTCTGCTGAATACAAACAGAGATTTGGACCAAGTGGAAGCAGAAATCTTTTTCTCCCCTAACGCTCCCATGTAAGAAACATTTCGTGTAACTGTTGAATATCACACAGTGCACGTGCACCAAAAAGCCTTGAATAGAATAGTTTTGATTGAGATCTTGAAATGTTTTTTTGTCCCTTGAATTAAAAGTCTGCACGTTAGCAGTCAACGTTTATTTCTCCGACATCTCATCAAGTGCATCAGCTGGAGGCCATCACTCATCCCCCTCCAGCAACAACCATCCACAGAACATCCTCTCCAAATGTGTTCCACGGCTCATTTCCACCCGCCACATACAAACCCAACGCAAATCCACGGCTGCCGGTCGTCTCTGCCATTTTGAACAGGGGTTAAAAATCAAGAGGAGCTGCTGCCTCACGGCCTCAACAGGAAGCAAATGCCAATTCCTGTCGCCTGGTTTTGTGATATGCATATCTGAGGCCGCACAGACAGATGTGTATTAATCACTGGAGCGTCTCAGATAGCAGTCAGGGAGCAAACTAATGAGGCTGAGAGCGATGGGAGCGGAGGGGGGGGGCAGTTAGAAGAAACGCGGCGTCGTATTTCAGCACCACGGACAGCACATCACTCTGGCTCCTGAACGAGGAACACGTCGGAGGGAATTCAAAGGAAATTGGTTTTATTACAAATCAGAGGTCATGTTGTCTTGGTTGAGGACGTCTTTACCATGAGACATCGAGGGACAGGGATGTTGAGCACAACAGGACAAGAGACGTGTTGAAATGATCCGACAGTTTATAAATAAGGCACAAGGTAAAAGTTGAAGAAGAAACTTCGTAATGTTTAATTCTGGATGTTAGTTCTTAAGAATGTCCTAAGATGGTTATAATAATAAAGTACAAGTTAAAGGTCCAGTGTGTTTATTTATGTGAAGGGAACTATTGGCTGAAATTTAATGTAGAATAATCCTCATGATGTTTTTATTAGTTTGTTTCATCTAAATTGTATGAACTGTAGTTTTCTTTACCCCAGACAAGACCTTTTATATATAAATACTTTATATTTAAATACTTTATATATACATCGAGGGGGTCCTCATTATGGAGGCTGCCATGTTTCTTCTTTTTCATGTTTGGAAGGAGAAGGTGAGGTGAGGGGTGTTTCAGCTGCAACATGCAACTTCAACACTAGGTGTCACTAAATTCTACACACTGTACCTTTAAGATTTCCTCAACAATTTGCTAAAAAAGTTTTTTTCTCTATCAAATGAAAATATCTTACTGTTTTATCCCACTGTATGCCGACGACAACAAATAGTATTTTATATATCTTTTTAAACCCTATGGGTGTGAACGTGAACAAAACTCATCATCACAAGTTATTGTAAATGATTTCCAGAAGAATGAGTAAAAAAAATAAACTCGTGTTCAGAACCAGTAAGAAATAATCTGTGAAGCATTTGTCTAAATCTGGTAATGCTGTAAATTTAAAACCTTTGTTTAAAAGGTTTATTGTCCGACTGTTTTATCAATACTGTGACACTCAGAAATTAAATTTGCATGTATGAGTCCATTGTTACTTTATGAATTATCTGCAAAAACTATTTATTTACCTCCATATTATAATAATATATATATATATATATATATATATATTACTGGATCATTGAAATTATGTCCACAAATGTACCTGTTGCCCTCAACATGGACCAAACATCAGATAATCTAGTTTCTAAAGTTTTCGTGATGAAAAATCCTCCCATGTTCAATCACATATGTTCACCTCTCTGACCTTGTGTCGAGGTTCTGCCACGAATGGATTCACTCTGCTGCTGCCAGATTGATGTGTAATTTCAGCTTTGATTATCTTACCGCACAATCCTCAATGCACCAAATTTGCAGCGTGCTGAATAAATCAACCGTCATAACGCCAGAGAGCTTCCTAATAAGGTTTATACAAGTGAAGAGAAAGGAACTCGTAATCAAATCAAGAAGCTGCCGTCTGTGTAAGAATGTTTGCCTTTGAGTCAATTTACTCAAAAAAAAAGAGACGAGAACGAGATGGACAGTTTGGACATTTTGGACATTTTGGACATTGTGTCGTCCTGGTAAATTCACTTTTTGTGGCATGTGGAGCAAAAACAAACAAACACCGGTGAAACCAAGTCAGTGACCTTTTGAGAAATGTCCAGACACTCAGGTTTTTATGTCCCAGGATTCCTGTGTGACCACTTCCTAGAAAGCATTTACATTTCTGCCATTTAGTGAGCGCTCTTGTCTGGAGCGACTCACAATGAGGAGCATTTCAGTGTCGCACTAAAGGGCACTTCAACATGACACTCAGCTTGTGATGGAGAAATACTGCGTGTTGTTGTCTGATACGTCATCTCTCCCTCACAGAATGCATATTTAAATAGATGCTGTGCCGTCGTAAGCTGCAGAGCATGGACACAATGGATGAGTGTTTCTGTGCACATCCTCGGGAGGTTCCCAGGGGGAATTAACAGGAGCCTGTGTTCTGAATGACTTTCTCCTCTTCCATGTTGTTTTGATCCACTCTGCGAAATTACCTTTTGGAATAACCTCGTCAAAAGTTCTGCTGCTGTTCCGTTAAATAAGCTGGAAATCTAAACATAAACAAAGTACTGCCTACTTTGTTGATGAAGCGTTGGATCATGGGACATGATGTAGCTCGTGCCAAAACATTCATGTTGAGCAGCTGACAACAATCAATAATTCTGTTATAATGAAGAATCTTTTATGAAATAACTTCACCATCCATCCTTTGTTCATCCACGGTCGGGCT